AGGGCTGCGGACATGAGGTCACCCATTCAAAACCCTCATGTCCCAGCCAAAAATTTTGAGGTGAGCACCTCAGTGATCACCATGCTGCGCGGTTCCGTGGTGTTCCGTGGTAAGGAGGGAGAGTGCCCTCGATCACATCTCAGGCGATTCCACGAGCTCATCGATGGAATCAAGATCAATGGGGTACCAGCAGATGCCATCCAGCTGAGGTACTTCCCATTCACTCTGGAGAGGCAGGCCAAGGAGTGGCTAGACACTCGACCTCCGGGCTCTATCACCAGGTTCGCCAACCTGGCGGACAAGTTCCTCACCCGCTACCATCCTCCATCCAAGACAGCTGACCTGCAGAAGCAAATTACAAATTTTGCTCAGGATGAGGATGAGACCATCAAGGATGCTTGGGAGAGATACACCAGTCTCTTTCTCAGGTGTCCCAATCATGGTTTCAATGATGCATTCAAGGTGGGCACCTTCTATCACGCCCTATTCCCGGAGGACAAGCAGCTGATTGATTCGGTTTGTGGCGGGAACATGCTGACAAAAACCCCGCCACAGCTGAATCAACTCTTTGAGGAGATGGCGGAGAACGGGTACGATTGGGGCACTGCTAGGAGGTCGAGGAGAGCACCAAGCCGAGGTGTACATTCTGTGGGAGCCCATCCCTCTGATTTGGTGCAGGTAGTATCGAAGCTGGTTTCAGCTATCGATCGTTCCGGGATGATTCCAGGGACCGGACAGCAGCAGGCGATGCTCTGCCACTGGTGCGAGAGCACCCATCACACGGTGGAAGACTGCTAGGCGATGAAGGAATCAACCACACCCCAAGAGCATGTGAACTTCATCAATAACGTCAGGCGCAATGACCCCTACAGTAACACTTACAACGAGGGGTGGCGCCAGCATCCTAACTTCTCCTGGGATGGGGCAAATTCCAGACCACCAGTCCCCCAGGGACCACCGGGTTTCCAGAGGCCGCCTTATCAGCCCAGACAGGGGCAATTCCAGCAGCAACAACAGTCGCTTTATCAGCCCATGCAGGGGCATGCTGCTCATTCACAGCCGCGACCTTTCCAGCAGCCAGGTGTAGCCCCTGCTGCCCCAGTGCAGAATTATCAGATGGCTGAATTGCGGGACTTGGTGGGTTCTCTCGCCAGTTCCTAGTGCTCAGAAATTCAACACTATTGAGCAGTTCATGGAAAAGGCCTCGGGTAAATTCCTGGCTCTTGAAGCTGGTCAGAGGAACACACAGGCTGTCTTGCAGGATATCCAGACCCAGCTGGGGAGCGTGGCTCAGGCAGTGGCTCAAAGGGCTCCTGGTACTCTACCCGGGCAGACCATCCCTCATCCGCAGACCCCGAATGAGCATTGCAATGCCATCATGACTAGGAGTGGCAAGATGACTGTTGATCCCCCTGCTCGGGAACAAGAGAAAGAGACCCCTGTCTTAGTGTCTCCAGCGGTTGAAGAAGAAGCAGAAAAGGAGATTGAGGTGCCTGCACCTAAACCGCAACCGGTAGTGAAGGAGTATATCCCGAAACTCCCCTTCCCTACTCGGTTGCACAAAGACAGGCTGGAGGTAGAGTTCGAAAACTTCATGGTCATGCTTAAGAAGCTGAATGTCCAAGTGCCCTTCCTGGAGGCCCTATCGCAAATGCCTAAGTATGCGAAGTTTCTGAAAGAGCTTCTCTCAAAGAAGCAGAAGCTGAGTGAGCTGGCCATTGTGGAGCTCAGCGAGGAGTGCTCGGCTATTCTGCAGAACAAGCTTCCGCAGAAGCAGAAGGACCCAGGTAGTTTTACTGTCCCATGCTCTATTGATAAATTGCATGTAGAGAGATCCTTGGCGGATTTAGGTGCTAGTATCAATGTTATGCCATATAAATTGTTCAAGAAACTAGGCCTAGGTGAACCCCGTGCTACTAGGATGACCCTTCAATTAGCTGACAGATCTGTAGTGCATCCTAGGGGCATAGTGGAAGACCTTCTGGTTAAGGTTGGCAAATTCAAATATCCTGTGGATTTTGTTGTCCTGGATATCAATGAGGACACAGAAGTGCCCCTTATACTGGGAAGGCCTTTCCTGGCCACCGCCAAGGTCCTCATAGACGATGTGCATGATGGGACCCTAGTTTTGAGGGATGGCGAGGAGCGAATAACATTTTCAATTGCTAATACTCTACCGGCTTCGTCACCTCTGCATGTTGTATCTCACCAGGAGCACGAGTCTGTCGTGTATCCTTCTGTGTTGCCTATTTTGCAGGGACCGCCTCCCACACCTTCGCCGCCACTCCTGACCACTCCATCACCAAAAGTACAGATCAAGGAGGAGTGGCGGCCGAAACTGCAGGCAGCTAAGCCTTCTCGAAAGAAAGCCGGAGACCACTATGAGCTGGTCCCACCCCCGCCTTGGCCATCCGAGTATTCACTCGCTTGCATCTTGCCGGATGGCCAAGTCTAGTTGGCGAATGCTGGTGGCCACATTCGTCGCGTACATGGCCACCATTTGAAGCTGTACCTCAAGAGCGATGTGGATCCGCTCTTGAAGGCACCTGATCCTACACTTCTCTGAGCATCCATACTGGCGTCCAGCTAAAAGACGGTAAAGAAGTGCTTGTGTGGAGGCAACCCCACCGAGGTTTGCATTTTCTTACTTTTTTTTCCTTTTGTTTTTTTGTTTTTTGTGTTTTTTGAGTCTTGAGATGTCGTTCCAGAGTCAAATGTCGTTTTTGAGTGAAAACAGGTTGAATTTGGGGCTTCAGCAGTTCGCACGGCCAGACCTGAAACTCACACGGCCGTGTGGAATTTTCCCCCTGGCCGTGCGAGCTCTCGGCAAATTCCACACGGCCAAATGTGCAACTCGCACGGCCGTGTGGAATTCCTTGGCCTGGCCGTGTCGGCCAACACGGGCAAAAGTGCACCTTGCACGGCCGTGTGTGCCTGCCCGTGTGGTGCTGATGATGATGACGCCTTCATGGCCGACATCGACTTGGATGATCTTGGCGACGAGTAGGCTGTACTCGTTGCCCATCTCAGTGTGTTTTGCTTTTCGTTTTAGACTTTTGTGTGTTTGCTCCAAGTGCGAGGAGCTTGAACTTAGTGTCGTTTGTTTTTGTTTTTGTTTTTGTTTTTCTTTTGTGGTTTTGTTTTTGTTGTAGCCGTCTGGGCTAACACTTATCCCTAACACACAGTGTGCTAGTGTGTTTTTGGTGTTCGATTCGTGCAGAACTGTCCATTCTCCCGTTTGTTTCTCGCTGACTGGTCCACTTCCAGTCCCCCAGCAGTGTTTCAATCCGGTAACATCGTTCCCCTTATCTCTCCCTCTACTCCATTGAGGGCAATGTCGTGCTTAAGTGTGGGGGGGGGGGGGTGCTTTGTATCGATTGGAATATATATTTGGGTGCTTGGAGCCTAGTCCGCTGTCCGAATCTTCCGATTTGAGGGCTCCAAGTACTGCTGTTTGATCATATTGGCACTGTGTTTTGATTGATGAATTGAATGGTTTTCGGATTGATGCATGACAGCTTGATTTTGACTAGGACAACCTATGATGAGGACTGAGACATGCAGTAGAATTGTGTAGGGGTTCAATTCTTTCGACTGTTTGCTTGCCAGCTATGACTTGATTTGATCACTTGTTCTTGACAGTCGTTTATGCATCTAGTTCAGGGTATCAGAATGTGAGATAGAGCATATAGGTAGCCATGTGAGATTTGAGCCTGCTCGTTTCTTTCTTGTGAGTTAGATCCATCTTCCATGATGTGTAGCATTCACGTTGTCACTAGCTAAGATGATGGGGGCATAGGATTAGCCCACGACCAAAACTGACTGTCCTGATGTGTCATATCCCCTAGTCAGCCCCTTTGAGCCGTGTGTTATCCTTTCTTTTGGTCTATAATGAGAAAATCACCCTTTTGCATCTTTTAGAAGGTTCCACGGAGTGGTTTTTACATATTCTCTGCTGTTTCTGCTAAAGTTAATGTGAGTGTTGGAGGTAGTGCTTAAAAGTTGGGCAGGTGTTTGAATTATGTGCAGAAGTGGTGGCTCTCTTAAGAAATGAGAAGAAAATGAAAGAAAAACAAAGAAAAAAATTTGAAAGCAAAAGAGAGCCACCACCCAAAAATCTGAATAATGCCCAGTAAGCAGTGTTTCTTAGCAGTCTGGCTTGGAAATGCTAACATTTATACCTCCTTCGCTTTGGTGCTCTTGAGATATTGAGTAATGCAGAATAGCAGAGAGAAAATACCGGTTTGTTTGACTGTGATTGTGTGGGTTTGGAAATGTGGAACCTTGTGCTATGAATACTTCCACCACTTAAAAGGCCTTTTCCCCATGTCCACACTACAAGAAATTTGGTTTATTCTGACACCCATGTTTGTCAAAATAAATCTTAACTTCGTCATAATAGGTTTATTATGACAAAATAATTTGTCACACTTTTAGTCAAAACTACCTCGTCAAAATAAGTCTGTAATGACAAAATTATTTTTTTGTCACAATAAGTTCTTCCTATTTTGACAAAATATTGTCGTTATAATATCCACATATTATGACAGAATGGTTGTGTTAAAATAAGGGTCTATTTTGTCACAACAGGGGGTCTTTTGTGACAATTTCAACACTTATCCCCCAGCTATTTTGACGAAATATGTAGTTGTGACGAATAGTTTGTCATCAAATTTTGTCATAATACACGCAGTGTAGGATGTTCGTACTTATTTTGACAAACGAATTTGGTCAAACAGAAGGCAACAATTCCCAAATTTGGACAATTAGACTTGTTATTTTGACGACCTGTTTGTCAACTTATATCCTTATTGTGACAACCGTATGTTAGTCAAGTTAGATGGTTATTACGACAACATTGATAATAACTAAAACATACTTCATTGTCATAACAACATTCATGTCCAAAAGATGGATATCATTCTTGTGCCACCAACCATTCATGTCTTGACCATCATAACTTATCTAGAAGCACAGTACTTAAAAACATAAAAGCAAACCGAAAGTCTACATCATCCCTGCCCAACAAAAGCTAATCTAAGCATCCATAAGCTGCCGGTGGAAATTCCAAGTGCATCACCACTGCTGATGTGTTTCCTGCACAGTTGCAGAAGCAAAGGCAAAACGATTAGACTCTGTTATAGGAGCCGAATTCCTTAATGTAAAAACATCTTTCTTATCACCTGAAACTAAGTGTTGCCTCCATTGATTTTCGCAGCAAGTGATTCCACATACGCCTTGAGACTGTCCTATGATGCTTGCTGAGATTTGATTTTATCTTCGAATTCCTGCCTCTGTTTATCTGCATCAGCAAGAGAGGTCTCCAAACGAGCTTCCAGTTCCTTCTCTCTTTCGGAAATGAGGTATGCCTTTCTAACATAACTCGGTGCTTTCTGCAGCACCCTGCGAACAATTTCAGCTCCTGACAATGGATTCCCTTGTTCAACTGCCTCTAGATGAATCCTCCTCATTTCCTCCTGCAAGCAACCGTATACATAATAAATACACACCACGCTAGGGTATCTATCATTCGAGAAACCAATCAAGATCAATACTTCACCCAACAAACCCCTAATCATTAATGTATTCAATATACCAACTATCCTCTAATTCACTAGACTCCCTATAATCCTCCTGGTACTAATCCACAACGAAAAGAGTGCTTACATAGTTCTGCTCGGGTTCCACATTCACCCAACTGCCATCAAGTTTCTTGTGGGTGTCTGCATAGACCCTTAGTTCTTTGGGCTCTTCCTCCACTACATCAGATGGCTGACTGCTATTCTCCACCTCCCCAGAATCATCATTGTTTTCAGTAGTGGCATCGGCAGCTGCATGTTTTGCTTTTTCCTAGTTCAAACCATGAAAATGTAATTAAATCATTCACAAAGCCCGAAAATAATCATTTCTCTGTAATGGATCAGCCACTGAAAATGACTTCTTACAATTTCAAACATCCGCTGGCTGCACGACTTTCCACCTGTAGTATGAGCATATGTCTGCTTACCCTTGTTTTGTTTGTTGGCTACACTCTGCCGCTGCACATCATATAATTTTGAAATGAGATATGACACAAACATGGTGACAATCTATGAACTGAGTTATTACCTTGAATTCAGCACTTTCAAAATGATCACACAAACGAGTCCAATCATCAATGTTGATGTTTTCGGGTGGAGTCTGGCGAGCTTTGTCATGACCTAATTCTTGATAGTGCATATGGCATAGGTGCTTCCAAGACGTGAACCTCCTTGATAAGGTAAAGTCAATGGCCTTTCTTGTAGCTACACTAGTGATGGAGATATCAAACTCGTTCTGGAACACAAAGGCAAACATTTACTGATTATTGTAAGGCTGCAAAAATCATAAATAGAGATTAATCCGGCTAAGTTCTCGACAATTACCTGTAGCTTCTGGAAAATGGGTTGCTTATCCTCTTCAGTGACATGTTTCCAGTAAAACTTCCCAATGGGAGCCATCATTTTACAGATAACTCCCACCTCCATCTTAAACAACTTCTCATTCGCCCCAACAATCTTCTTAGCTCCTGCTGCAACTTCAATTCCACCAATCTTATTTCCAGTCATTGTTTGTTTCATTACAGCAATCCCTTTTGCTTTGCCACGTCCTTTTCGCTCTGGCGCATCTGTATAAATAATCATTATTACAAGCACATACTAAACCGATATGCGAAAACTTAAACAAATACTTACCTGATGTATTATGTTCGGTGGTTGCAGTTTCCTCCAAGTTTTCATTCTCTGCAATCACCTCTTGTGTTACTTCCTGATCACGCATGTCATTGCGGGTTCTATTCCTCGACTTCCGAGCCGGTTCCTGAACTGGCTCCCGTCCTGCAGCAGACGCTGTCGATCTTGTCAATCTTGCAGGGATTGATTGGTTGGCTGCATCCCGCTTTCTTTTGCTACCACGAGGCATACCAGGAGCCATATCTACAAAAACAAATACAAGACTATTATGAAACAACAATGAGGCTTCCACTGCTCAAACTATAAATGTCTGGCTCTGATTGAATCGTTAGAAAAGGTTTCAACGTGACAAACCAGAATCCATAACATAAAAATCACAAACTGTCTGCAAACCGAAACACAAATTTCATTGGAAGCATAGAATTCAAAATTATAGTCTAGTATAAAACAGAAAAATTCAAAAAACTCGGTTCTAGTCATCATTCTCCATATCATCTTCATCGTCATTCCTGTCATTCTCCTGAGAACATTCACTTAGGTACTCTAGCTCCTCATCATCCGCATCCTCTGATTCTGCATCTTCAGGAACCACCTCCTTCCTAGTTAGCACTCGTTCCATGATTGCGATTTCAGCAGCTGTTAGGGTCACTGGATCGCCATCAGCACTACTGAGCTGCTGCTCATCGATGTTGTCTGATGGAATTTCGATCGCCTCCGTGTTTGAATTGTCCTGGTAAGGGTCATGACTGTAAACTGGATCAACCTCTTCCCCATCCCCCTTTTCTGGAACGTCATATATATGCCTAGGACAGACATTATTGACTATACGCCATGTACCTCCGTTTTTTGTATCCCCTATATAAAAAACTTGTCTTGCTTGGTTAGCTAATACATAGGGCTCATTTTGGTACCACCTCTTCCCTATGTTAACACTAGTTAGGAAACCATCAGATCTGATCCCATTCCTCGTATCTCCTACATCCCACCAATCACACTTGAATAAATATACATTCAAGTTGTGACAGAATTGAATTCGCAAAATGTCTACCACCACACCATAAAAATCTATAATATGCCCATTATGTTCCCCCTGAACAACCACACCACTATTCTGAGTACTCCGTTTACTATCTACGTCATGAATTTGAAACCGAACACCATTTACAATTAAACCCGTGTATCTAGTTATTCTCTCATCTGCACCTATACCTAGAATGTATAAATGGTCATTCTGGCCAAGGGAGCCAGAGGCAAACAACTTTGTAACCTATATAAAATAGAAGAACAAAAAACCAGCAAGGCATAGTTAGAATTTCCCACGAAAAGTTGAACTCAAAACAACAAAGAGAAAATCGTTATAAGTATCGATTTATAGAATTGACCACAGCTTACATAAGTTTTTAACCATTTTGGGAAAAATTCTGCAATAGCCGTGAATGTAGAATTCAGATTATTCTTCTGCATCTCCTCGGAATACATGCTGTCATGAGTTTCATGTGTGATCAGACCTTTAACTATAAAAAGTGAACTTGTACTATATACGCACTAGAAGAGAAATTAAAGTGAAAGACAATGCAACTTACTTGAAGTAATCCTCCCCCTCTTCCCAATTATTTAGTATGTAGGTTTGAATCTTGTTAAACTCTGGACGCTTTAGAATCTCATATTTAGCACCACCTAAAGGTCTAGTTTTCTGATTGAAAATAGAAAACCCACCTTCACCATGTACATGAGGCCCTTCATCATTTCTATCTAAACGAGTCTCCACCGAATCAAACCCGTCAAGGTATCTCGCACAGAATTCAGAACACTCTTTAGCGATATATTTTTCAGCAATGGATCCCTCTGCATGTGCTTTATTTGTGACAAGTTTTTTCAATTTCCCTAAGAACCTTAGTACAAGTGAATACAGAAACACATGTTAACTTAGTGAAAAGGAAACTTAAAACATTAAGCCAATAAAAACAAACAAGACTGCCTATGTACCTTTCCATTGGATACATCCACCTATATTGAACTGGACCGCCGAACATTATCTCGTCAGGAAGATGAATTGCAAGATGCATCATTATGACAAAGAACGATGGAGGATAGACCAACTCTAGTTTGCACATAATTAAGATTATGTTCTTTTGCAAGGTGTGGACAGAAGATTTGGATATGGTTTTCGAACAAAGCTCTCTAAAAAATTGGCTTAGTTCAGCCAAGACGACATATACTTCTTTCTTCAAGAAACCTTGTGCCACTGCTGGCAATAAACGTTGTATGAAAACATGGTAGTCGTGACTTTTCATTCCAGTCACAGACCGCCCATCACTAGTGATACAGCGTGATATGTTGGATGCATATGCATCGGGAAACTTTATGGTTTTCAACCACTCACACACTTCGCGTTGTTTCGAGACCGGTAATGAATAACAGGCCTGAGGTAAACAAGGCTTAGCCCCAGTTCTGTCAATGTGCAACTCTTTCCGTATTCCCATGTTCTCCAAATCTAGCCTAGCAGTCATGCCATCTTTTGTTTTCCCTTCAATGTTCATCAGGGTCCCTAGCAGATTCTCACTGATATTCTTCTCCACGTGCATAACATCTAAGTTATGCCGCAATGCAATACTAGACCAATAAGGCAAACCCCAGAAAGCAGCTTTGGTTTTCCAGTTTAAACTAGGATTTGAGGCACCTCTTTTCCTTTTGCGACTACTACTGGCCTGCTCACTACCTAAAGCAAAATTAACTTGGTCAAGCAGTTGTTGTCCAGTTAACAATTTAGGTCTAGCTCTAAAATCTGACTTCCCATCAAATTTCCTACTTCTCCTCCATGGGTGATCTTTGTCTAACCATCTACGGTGACCCAAATAGCACTCTTTGCTGCCAAACTGTAATCGTAGGTAGTCTGTCTCCCTATTGCAGACAGGACAAGCTAACCTACCTTTAGTACTCCACCCGCACAACATACCATAAGCTGGAAAATCATTTATGGTCCATAAAAGCGCAGCATGTAACTAAAAAGTTTCATTAGAGTACGCATCATAAGCTTTGACCCCAGGATTCCATAACTCGTTCAGACTCTCAATCACTGGCTCCAAATACACATGTATATTGTTACCCGGGGATTTCTTCCCTGGTATCAGGACAGTAAGAAAAAGAAAAGACTCTTTCATGCAGTACCATGGTGGCAAATTGTAAGGAGTAAGAACAACAGGCCACATGCTGTAGCTCGTACTCATGTTGCCAAACGGATTAAACCCATCACTTAACAATGCCAGTCGGACGTTCCTAGGATCGGAAGCAAACCAATTATGGGCTACATCAAAATCTTTCCAAGTCTGTGCATCTGCTGGATGCCTAAGGATATCATCGTCAACACGATTATCCTTGTGCCACCTCATAGCCTTCGCAATATGCTTAGTCATAAACAACCGCAGAAGCCTATCCTTTATAGGGAAATACCTAGCCCTTTTAATGGCAACATCAGACCCTTTACCAGCAAAATATCTATCAGATTGACACTTGGGGCATTTCCTCTCATGAAGAAGATCCCGCCTAAATAAAACACAATCATTCGGGCAAGCATCTATTGTGGTGTAACCAAAACCCAGGTCTTTAATATATTTCTTGACATCATAGTAAGAACTTGGCAAAGACTCACCTTTAGGTAAAGCCTTTTTAATCGTTTCAAAATTCAAGTTGAATAACTTGTCTGAACTATTTGTAACTATTTTGTTGTTCATCAACTTCATAATGAATGACAGTTTGGAGAAGGTTTCACAACCAGGAAAAAGTGGAGCTTTAGCATCCTTAATCAGTCTTGCTAATGTGGGATCAATATCCCCAACAACCCAGTTAGAGTTTCCAGAATCAGGTCTTTGTGCGACATTAGCTCTACCTAAGTCATCTAACATGGTAGGAATGTCTGTATCAACAAAATAATTATCCTCCTCCTCAAGATGAGGAGGAGAGCTCGCTGGACCACTACTACCAATCTCAACAGCAGGTTCCCCATGATGAACCCACCGTACGTAATCCGGAACCATTCCATGATTGTAGATGTCAGCTTTCACTAACTCAATGGTCTTGAAGGAGCAATTGTTGCACCCTCGGCATGGGCACCTAACTCTACCTTGACCATAAAGACATTGCATGGCACATTGTATAAAAGCATCAACACCACGTAATTACTGAGGACAAAATCTGTCCTTCAGTTTCAACCACGACCTATCCATTCTCCTAGTGCACTTAAAGTGAACTAACCTGAACAACTCAAAGTGCCTTTGCTGCAAATTCCCACTTGCAATGGAACTACAACAGTTCACAACTCCAACAGAAATGCCCAGCTGGTGCAGGAGAAGGAGGATTAAAAGTAGTAGAACCTGGGGGAAAACAAATGCAAACATGGTTAGTTAGGGCCAAATAGGCTGCTCGAGACTCCCCTCACCAGAAACAAAACCGAGATAAGCACAGTAATGATGTCCAACTAATGCTTTCAGTCATGGCGATGTTAACAAACAACTAAAGAAGGTTGCAACCTCACAAGACCTAATTACTAACTCACACATTGACAAGCAAAAAAAAAAGGAACTCGCAGAATTTGAATGTCAATTAGGAACGAGTAATCACTCATAATTTCACAGATTCATGCATTCAGGGGAAGAGAATGAGAGGGGTCCTAACCTTGGGTTCGAATATCCTCTTTCGTTTATCTAAGGACCTGCTCCAAATATATGATTCTAGACGATTGAGGATCTCGAAAATTGTTGGAGATGCTTCCGCTGGGCATGCAATCATACAAGGGTTAGGGATTGGAAGTCAAGCGCACAATCTGTTTCCTTCCCTCTAGGGACGGAATAGAGCATGCAACCGAAGCAAGGAAACCTAGAAACTGAAAAACAAACGAACAATCAAACGGGAGGTTGCGAGGATTCTTACATGCACTGACGAAATTGGATGCGGGGACGGCGATGGATGAGGTCTGCGCGCGAGGATGGCGGTGGATGAGGTCTGGGCTTGGGGATGGCGGTGGATGAGGTCTGCGCGCGGGAACAGAGAAAGGAAAGAAAGGGGGAAGAGATCAATCTAGGGATTCAGAGATAGGTGATTGGGCGGAGAATGAAAAAAAAAGGGGGGAAGAGATCAATCTGCGCACAATCTCCTAAAACGAAAGGAAAGAAAGGGGGGAAGAATGAAAAAAAGAAGCGCCCAGAATTCCCTCCATGGACGATTGAGTTTTCTTTTCAGTATGAGAATTTGAGATATTTCTTCTTCCTTCGCTCCATAATATCCCGCCATTCTCGATAATTTCACTTAATTAGTCGTCGATAGGTAAATAACACCTATTTTGACTGTTCAGCATAAGATATTTTGACAAACTACTCGTCACAACCGTAAACTATTCTGACTACGTGTATTATGACAATCCGGTTATCATAACAAGATAGTCATTCTAACCCGGGAGCACCATATTTTGACAACATACTAATGACAACACGTATTTTGTCATAATAACATCTTATTTTGACAGAATGTTCTGTCAACTCTGATTTTGTCATAATAGGTTGTACTATTTTGACAACTATTAGGATTGTCATATTAAATAACTTATTATGACAAATCTATTATGACAAAAAATTATTTTGTCGTAACTAACCAAAATTCTTGTAGTGCCAAGACCCTAGCCAGTCATTTGAACCTGTGTCTAAGACCTCCTGATTAGTTAGTGGTGACACCCCATATGTGAACTCTAGCATTTAGAGGCTGCCATCATGGTGAAGAGATGTTAGGGATTGAGAGAAATAGCATGCGCATTTTTCGCATCAAATTGTCCTGACCCCACTGGTCGAGAGTGAGTGATTCATTTTCATATTCTAAATACTCTTGTACCCCAGTGAGGACCTAGATTGCTTGGTCTCTGTTCTGATGTTTTGGGTTGGATGCATGAGTTGACTGTTTTGAGTAAGTGGTTGAGTCAAGTCTAGGTTGGCTGGTGAACAGAAGGGAGACTCTTCCTTTACTCGATTTTGCTGCACTCGAATGTCCTTTGTGGTGGTTGTCCAGGTTGCTATTGAAGTTGTTCATGTGTTGATGCTTGAAAACCAGTACGATTCATGTGTTCTGTGCCTTTATGACTTGTCCCCAATGTTGGTTGATTGAAATATGTAAGCTTACCTGGTGTCCGACTTGGTTTGCTTGGGGACAAGCAAACGGTTAAGTGTGGGGGAGTTTGATAGACCGTTAATTACACATGTTTTTACCCCCGTTCTTAGACCGTTTGAGGTGTTGATTCTCGTATTTTAGGCTGATTTCACGCTAGGTTGTGCTTGTTTGTGATATTTCAGGTCCTAGTACGTGAATGGAGGCTTGGGAGCGAGTTTGGGGTCGATTGGATGAAGATCGGACGCATGGCGAGGTTCCAAGGAAGCCACACGGGCAGTCCTGGGTGTCACACGGCCGTGCAAGTTGCAATTGTGGCCGTGTGATTCTCACCGAGAGCAAACACGGGCAACTCAGGAAATCCACACGGTCGTGCAACCCTGGCCATGTGAGATAGCTGAAGATCGACTTAATGATACGCCGCGTTTCAATCCGCACGGCCAAATGGGTGAGCCACACGGCCGTGTGGCCTGCCCGTGTGAGTCGGGAAACTCTGGTTTTTGAGCCAATTTCGAGCCAAAAGTGGGGGAATCGGATTTTCAGAGCAAAAACAGAGCCCTAGAGAGAGAAAGTACGAAAAACACATCCTAGAAGCTATCTTGGAGCTGGGTTTCATCGAATAGAGCTTGGAGATCGTCATAGGAGTGGAAATCATCATCCCGGAGCATATTTTCCTCATCATTATGAGTATGACTACTCCGATTACTGTTTTCTCTTCTCTCTCTATGGAGTAGAACCCTTCTCTCACTTGGGTATGAAGAACCCTAGTTCCTTGTGTTAGGGATTTGATTGTAATGACTTGGGATGATATTACTGTTTGATTTTAATCGAATGATGCATGTTTATTGAATTGATTGAAGTCTGATCAGCTTTTTTCGATTTCTGCTGCAGCCTGAGATAGATAGAATCTGATTAGGTTGATAGAGCCTCTTCATTCGATAGTAGGAGATTGGCTATACGAGAGTTAGCCAGTTTACTGCTTTGTACTGGAATTCAATTCCAGTAGTGGATTTCTGTGTTCATAGCCTCAGCTTTCTATCCCGGTGAAGACTAGCCGTCTGCCGGGTAGTTAGACTGAGAGGGCTTGGTCAGCTTAAGAGATTCCAAGCTACTGTCGGATCTTCCGCAGTCTAATCAACAGTGAATCAACCCAGGGGAATTACAATTGAACCTAATCAAGGGGCTAGGGGGGCTCAATCCTGAGTGACTCTTTCCTGACTTTGAAAACCGAACAATTTACTGCTTTCTTACTGCTTTTGCTTTAAACAACAATCAATCGAATTAGTTGGCTAGATAATAGATAATCACGGAGTAAGCAGTAGATCTAGACCCCGGGTTGATAATAGAACTTGCCTGTTACTGCATTCCCGGACTGCGATTAGACTTGGTCGCAGTTGGGTGTTGTGTTTTGGCGTGTCACTTGCCTCCGGAAGATAAGAGACTTACCCCACCGCACTCAGCACACTCCACCCCCTGACCAATCCTCTCCACCGCCGAGTATTCATGATTTTGAAATACACTGTGACGGTTCCTTTTTCAGCGAGTCATAGGAGGCGGCTTATGGCGTCGTAGTGACGAACAGCCATGGACAGGTTTGTAATGGGAGAGCTGAGCCCCTGCATTGTTTTCCCCACTTGAAGCAGAAGCTATTGCCCTTTGGGAGGGAACACGAATGGCTGAAGAGTTGGCAGCTCCGTGCCTGATCAGGACTGACTGCCAGACCCTTGTTCAGGCCCTTGCAAACCCAATAGAGGTTTGGCCATGGCGTGTAGCAGGCTGGATCAACAGGATCAAGAACTTTTCTATCAATCACGCGACCAGCAGGGTTGAATTCTTCAACAGAAGAAGAAATTGCAAGGCGAACTGGGTTGCGCGATCATGTGCAAAAAAAGATCTACCGGTTGATTGGATCCAGGTTCTTGATGTAATTGCTCCTCTCTTGTAATCCTTTGGCTTCTACCTCGAGGAATGGAAATTCTCTGCCCTTTTTCAAAAAAAAACTTGACCTACTTTCAGCCGTTCATTTCTCGATTTCTGTGGTGGGACAGTGCACAAAGACAATAATGTAACGTTTCATTTTTTCCCTTTGTATTTATTGCTTTTCATTAAAATAAAGGAAGGCATTACGTCACGTCTCTTCCGCTATATAATTTAAGATAGAGCAACGCTTCCCCTTCTCTACCCTTTTCCTCCTTAGAACTCTTACCCTATGTTTCTGAAGGAAGGGAGGAAAAGGAGGGGAGGTGAAGGAAAATTAAGAAGGGAGGGGAGATTTGGAGGTGAATGAATTTGGGAGGAAAATGTTATTTTATGGAGGAAAGTGGGAAGGAATATGTGTATTGAAAAGTGTGATGAATATGTTATTTTAATAGTAAAATAATCTGATTGTATGTTAATATTCTACTCATAAGTTATGGATTAAATTTGTACTTTCTTTCTAAATCGTACGAGAGATTCTATCGGAAAAATTAGTGGTAGGATATTTTATTCTAAAATCATGATTTAACCACATCAATTATTTTATACCGTTTAAAATTGCATATCGGTTTAAGACTTGGGTTCCGTTACAAACCCCACTGGTTGCAAAACTCCATTCATATAATACGATACGATTATATTTCATACGAACGAATTTTATAGGATTTTGCAGGACGAGATTTTGTATACTATCCACTCCCTTATTTTAATAAAAACAATTTGGACTATAACAACAAACCAAAATCTTAACGATAAAAATAAAAAGTCTATTCCCCATCCCCAATTTTCCGTCTACCCAACCCATCTCACTCTACCTAAAAAAATTGACAAACTCACTCTCTAGACTCTTCCATCCCCATATGTGATGCTAACTGAGAAAGAATCTATTCTCCACCCACTTTCTTCTCCTTTCTCCTTCGCTAATCCGCCATTTCTCTCTTCTGGGAGCCCTATCAATTGAGAAAAAAAGAGAGCCAGCCTAATCCGCCAAGAAGAGCCTTGATCCAGGCAAAATCGAGGCATGCATGTCTCTTTGATTTTGTATCCTATGTTTTTGTTTGTTTTAATTGAGGTTTTGTGTTTTGGAGTCCTCGTTGTATAGAGGAAAGTAGAAAAACAGAGGCGGCCGGACTTCCTCGTCGACTATCGAATATGTTATCACTGCCTATAAAACTGGATGATGCATTTTTTGAGTTCATTTTTCTTCGTTATTTTTCAAATTGGAAACAGATTTTCTTCTTTCTTCTGCAGGTGATAAATCTTCTGGTTTTTGTGGAAAGAAGAAAGAAGGAGAAAGTAAAGAAAGAGGGGAGAGGAGAGAGATTATGAAAACTAAAAAAAAGGAAAATAGAGCTCACTCTGCCTTTTCTCTCCGATTTGGAGGGATTGGTTGAACAGTTCACTTTTCCTTCCATTTTCCGCTCTCCTGCACTGTTGCTTTTTCCGAAAACGGGGGAAAGTGCTTCGTAATTCCAACTTTTCGTTCCCTTTTTTCCTTTCCTCCCTTCGTAGAGCCATATTTTCTTCATCTCCTTATTTCACTCCTTGGGTAATTTCTATGTTAATAGTTAGATATGAGCGACATGAAAGTGTTCTAAACGGGCTCTCTTCTGATTCTCCGTTTCATCCTTGTTTTGGAGCCTCCGGATCGATTGAAGAATTCAACCAGGTATTCATCGTTTCACAGGTAACCTAGGTTCGGCCCTAACACTTTCTACTGCATGTTCTAAAAATAACAAAGAAATAAAGGCTCGTTCTTGCATCCTACCACTTATTTATGGACGTTCTCCATGAGAACGTGCTTCATCCAAAATTTTCAACTCAGTAATCTTAAGAGAGATATTTTTGTCAACAAATTATTAGTAATTAACTAATTATCATGAATCTTAAACTCAAGTTCCCTACGTTTCTGTCCATCCGAAAATTTCCAGAAGAAAAGCTTCCTCATTCATTTTCCCGTTTATATTATATAATTTGGGATATTTAATAATGATTATTTTATATGAATTTAATCAACTTTATAACATAAATATAACCATGACAGGAATTATAGAAAAATGGGTTAGTATCTTGGGGTGACAATGTTATTTATAAGTTAATTACTTCTATTAATACTTCTATCAATTCAACAGTCAAGGTTACTATGCTTTGTATAACACCAACCATTTAAAATTTACTTTAGTTTCATGTTGTTGATGAAAAAGCAATCGAAAACAGTACAAATAAAATTTAAAGTAATTTACTACAAAAGAGGTAAATCAAAGTGTGGTATTGTTAAATTTTGTAAGAGTCAGATTTCATTACATGATTTTTTTTAACTATCTATAAATGATGTTCGAAATCTCTGTAATGTAATTGTTATTTTTAAAGTTGTTAAATATTATTTTTTCAATATTAAACATAAAGCTATCTTACTTCACATGCAATTACCATGGTTGATTATGTATTATTGATGAAATGTATACGGTCAACCGGCGAACTCAAATCTAGTGTTATTGCTAAGCATAAATGCATAGATGTCATTTGCCGTTTCATTTCTACGGTGGATGGATTTTTGGACTATATTTCTCTGATGGATTCTTCTTTTATACAGGGCCCAAGCTTGTTGCAGGTACCATGGCTGAGAACGTTGCTAACCTTCGTAATCAAAGGATTCTCATCGAGAATTAGATTGCTGCACCACCGCAAGACCAACTTGGTGCAACCTCTGCAGGGCTGTCCAGTTTTATCATCTGTGCCTGGTTGAGAGGTTGCACCAAGTTGGTCTTGCGGTGGTGCAGCCAAGGCCTATCTTACTTTTCCCAGTTTCTGTTCAGGGTAGGTTTAATGGAAACTTTTGTTAAGTTGATTGTTAGTGAATCATAGGTATGGTGCAATTAGTTTAGATATACTTTCTGATCAGTTTCTTCTTAACAAGGTTGCCACGAGGGTAGGTTTTTTTAGCCTAGTCCTTGAATGTAGGATGGAAATGAAAACTTTTGTTAAGTTGATTGGCTAAAATCTAGTGTTATTGCTAAGCATAAATGCATAGATGTCATTTGCCGTTTCATTTCTTCGGTGGAAGGATTTTTGGACTGTATTTCTCTGATGGATTCTTCTTTTATACAGGGCCCAAGCTCCAGAGGATAAGGCGTGGCCCATGAACTGCATGCTTAATTTGGGTGAGGCCCCAGAAATTCTGAGGCCTTGGGTCCGGCCTGCGGCGTAACCCTAACCTTATATAAGCTGCTGCAACTGTCGCTCTGTCAGCTCCGATCGTTGAAGGAATTCGCCGTTTCTTCCGAGTATGTCTATTTCTCGCGATCGATTCAGCTTTTCGTATGACTGATGATTGAGATTCCTTCTCTATAGATCTGCATATGTGCATTTAGGTCGTTCCGCGGTAGATCTGCGATTCCTTCTCTGTAGATCTGCATTTCTGTGCATTTAGGTCGTTTCGATTTTTTTGTTTTCCTGAGTATGTTCTTTTTTTTTATGTATCTCCTGTATGCGGTAGGTGATCTTCTACATGATCGTTAGATCGTAGATCCTCCATTTTGCTGTTTTTCTATGTATGTGCATTGTTGATGATATGAATGCGATCCTTTTTTTTTGTATATCTACTGCCATACGCCGTTAGATCGCAGTTCCTCCATTTTGCTGTGGCGATTCTGCCTCGTCTTTTATTTCTCATCCGTCTTCTTTTTTGTTTTTGTGATCTTGTTGCAGGTACCATGGCTGAGAACGTTGCTAACCTTCGTAATCAAAGGATTCTCATCGAGAATGAGATTGCTGCACCACCGCAAGACCAACTTGGTGCAACCTCTCAACCTCTGCAGGGCTGTCCAGTTCTATCATCTGCGCCTGGTTGAGAGGTTGCACCAAGTTGGTCTTGCGGTGGTGCAGCCAAGGCCTATCTTACTTTTCCCAGTTTCTGTTCAGGGTAGGTTTAATGGAAACTTTTGTTAAGTTGATTGTTGGTGAATCATAGGTATGGTGCAATTAGTTTAGATATACTTTCTGATCAGTTTCTTCTTAACAAGGTTGCCACGAGGGTAGGTTTTTTTAGCCTAGTCCTTGAATGTAGGATGGAAATGGAAACTTTTGTTAAGTTGATTGACTAAAATCTAGTGTTATTGCTAAGCATAAATGCAAAAATGTCATTTGCCGTTTCATTTCTACGGTGGATGGATTTTTGGACTGTATTTCTCTGATGGATTCTTCTTTTATACAGGGCCCAAGCTCCAGAGGATAAGGCGTGGCCCATGAACTGCATGCTTAATTTGGGTGAGGCCCCAGAAATTCTGAGGCCTCGGGTCCGGCCTGCGGCGTAACCCTAACCTTATATAAGCTGCTGCAACTGTCGCTCTGTCAGCTCCAATCATTGAAGGAATTCGAAGTTTCTTCCGAGTATGTCTATTTCTCGCGATCGATTCAGCTTTTCGTATGACTGATGATTGAGATTCCTTCTTTATAGATCTGCATATGTGCATTTAGGTCGTTCCGCGGTAGATCTGCGATTCCTTCTCTGTAGATCTGCATTTCTGTGCATTTAGGTCACTTCGATTTTTTTAGTTTTTCTGAGTATGTTCTTTTTTTTTTATGTATCTCCTGTATGCGGTAGGTGATCTTCTACATGATCGTTAGATCGTAGATCCTCCATTTTGCTGTTTTTCTGTGTATGTGCGTTGTTGATGATATGAATGCGATCCTTTTTTTTATATCTACTGCCATACGACGTTAGATCGCAGATCCTCCATTTTGCTGTGGCGATTCTGCCTCGTCCTTTATTTCTCATCCGTCTTCTTTTTTGTTTTTGTGATCTTGTTGCAGGTACCATGGCTGAGAACGTTGCTAACCTTCGTAATCAAAGGATTCTCATCGAGAATGAGATTGCTGCACCACCGCAAGACCAACTTGGTGCAACCTCTGCAGGGCTATCCTGTTCTATCATCTGCGCCTGGTTGAGAGGTTGCACCAAGTTGGTCTTGCGGTGGTGCAGCCAAGGCCTATCTTACTTTTCCCAGTTTCTGTTCAGGGTAGGTTTAATGGAAACTTTTGTTAAGTTGATTGTTAGTGAATCATAGGTATGGTGCAATTAGTTTAGATATACTTTCTGATCAGTTTCTTCTTAACAAGGTTGCCACGAGGGTAGGTTTTTTTAGCCTAGTCCTTGAATGTAGGATGGAAATGAAAACTTTTGTTAAGTTGATTGGCTAAAATCTAGTGTTATTGCTAAGCATAAATGCATAGATGTCATTTGCCGTTTCATTTCTTCGGTGGATGGATTTTTGGACTGTATTTCTCTGATGGATTCTTCTTTTATACAAGCCCCAAGCTCCAGAGGATAAGGCGTGGCCCATGAACTGCATGCTTAATTTGGGTGAGGCCCCAGCAATTCTGAGGCCTCGGGTCCGGCCTGCGGCGTAACCCTAACCTTATATAAGCTGCTGCAACTGTCGCTCTGTCAGCTCCGATCGTTGAAGGAATTCGCCGTTTCTTTCGAGTATGTCTATTTCTCGCGATCGATTCAGCTTTTCGTATAACTGATGATTGAGATTCCTTCTCTGTAGATCTGCATATGTGCATTTAGGTCGTTCCGCGGTAGATCTGTGATTCCTTCTCTGTAGATCTGCATTTCTGTGCATTTAGGTCGCTTCGATTTTTTTGTTTTCCTGAGTATGTTCTTTTTTTTTATGTATCTCCTGTATGCGGTAGGTGATCTTCTACATGATCGTTAGATCGTAGATCCTCCATTTTGCTGTTTTTCTGTGTATGTGCGTTGTTGATGATATGAATGCGATCCTTTTTTTTTTGTATATTTACTGCCATACGCCGTTAGATCGCAGTTCCTCCATTTTGCTGTGGCGATTCTGCCTCGTCTTTTATCTCTCAGCCGTCTTCTTTTTTGTTTTTGTGATCTTGTTGCAGGTACCATGGCTGAGAACGTTGCTAACCTTCGTAATCAAAGGATTCTCATCGAGAATGAGATTGCTGCACCACCGCAAGACCAACTTGGTGCAACCTCTGCAGGGCTGTCCAGTTCTATCATCTGCGCCTGGTTGAGAGGTTGCACCAAGTTGGTCTTGCGGTGGTGCAGCCAAGGCCTATCTTACTTTTCCCAGTTTCTGTTCAGGGTAGGTTTAATGGAAACTTTTGTTAAGTTGATTGTTAGTGAATCATAGGTATGGTGCAATTAGTTTAGATATACTTTCTGATCAGTTTCTTCTTAACAAGATTGCCACGAGGGTAGGTTTTTTTAGCCTAGTCCTTGAATGTAGGATGGAAATGGAAACTTTTGTTAAGTTGATTGGCTAAAATCTAGTGTTATTGCTAAGCATAAATGCATAGATGTCATTTGCCGTTTCATTTCTTCGGTGGATGTATTTTTGGACTGTATTTCTCTGATGGATTCTTCTTTTATACAGGGCCCAAGCTCCAGAGGATAAGGCGTGGCCCATGAACTGCATGCTTAATTTGGGTGAGGCCCCAGAAATTCTGAGGCCTCTTGTCCGGCCTGCGGCGTAACCCTAACCTTATATAAGCTGCTGCAACTGTCCCTCTGTCAACTCCAATCATTGAAGGAATTCGTCGTTTCTTCCGAGTATGTCTATTTCTCGCGATCGATTCATCTTGTCGTATGACTGATGATTGAGATTCCTTCTCTGTAGATCTGCATATGTGCATTTAGGTCGTTCCGCGGTAGATCTGCGATTCCTTCTCTGTAGATCTGCATTTCTGTGCATTTAGGTCACTTCGATTTCTTTTTTTTTTTCTGAGTATGTTCTTTTTTTTATGTATCTCCTGTATGCGGTAGGTGATCTTCTACATGATCGTTAGATCGTAGATCCTCCATTTTGCTGTTTTTCTGTGTATGTGCGTTGTTGATGATATGAATGCGATCCTTTTTTTTTTGTATATCTACTGCCATACGCCGTTAGATCGCAGATCCTCCATTTTGTTGTGGCGATTCTGCCTCGTCTTTTATTTCGCATCCGTCTTCGTTTTTGTTTTTATGATCTTGTTGCAGGTACCATGGCTGAGAACGTTGCTAACCTTCGTAATCAAAGGATTCTCATCGAGAATGAGATTGCTGCACCACCGCAAGACAACCTTGGTGCAACCGCTGCAGGGCTGTCCAGTTCTATCATCTGCGCCTGGTTGAGAGGTTGCACCAAGTTGGTCTTGCGGTGGTGCAGCCAAGGCCTATCTTACTTTTCCCAGTTTCTGTTCAAGGTAGGTTTAATGGAAACTTTTGTTAAGTTGATTGTTAGTGAATCATAGGAATGGTGCAATTAGTTTAGATATACTTTCTGATCAGTTTCTTCTTAACAAGGTTGCCACGAGGGTAGGTTTTTTTAGCCTAGTCCTTGAATGTAGGATGGAAATGAAAACTTTTGTTAAGTTGATTGGCTAAAATCTAGTGTTATTGCTAAGCATAAATGCATAGATGTCATTTGCCGTTTCATTTCTTCGGTGGATGGATTTTTGGACTGTATTTCTCTTATGGATTCTTCTTTTATATAGGGCCCAAGCTCCAGAGGATAAGGCGTGGCCCATGAACTGCATGCTTAATTTGGGTGAGGCCCCAGAAATTCTGAGGCCTCGGGTCCGGCCTGCGGCGTAACCCTAACCTTATATAAGGTGCTGCAACTGTCGCTCTGTCAGCTCCGATCGTTGAAGGAATTCGTCGTTTCTTCCGAGTATGTCTATTTCTCGCGATCGATTCAGCTTTTCGTATGACTGATGATTGAGATTCCTTCTCTGTAGATCTGCATATGTGCATTTAGGTCGTTCCGCGGTAGATCTGCGATTCCTTCTCTGTAGCTCTGCATTTCGGTGCATTTAGGTCGCTTCGATTTTTTTGTTTTTCTGAGTATGTTCTTTTTTTTTATGTATCTCCTTTATGCGGTAGGTGATCTTCTACATGATCGTTAGATCGTAGATCCTCCATTTTGCTGTTTTTCTGTGTATGTGCGTTGTTGATGATATGAATGCGATCCTTTTTTTTGTATATCTACTGCCATACGCCGTTAGATCCCAGATCCTCCATTTTGCTGTGGCGTTTCTGCCTCGTCTTTTATTTCTCATCCATCTTCTTTTTTGTTTTTGTGATCTTGTTGCAGGTACCATGGCTGAGAACGTTGCAAACCTTCGTAATCAAAGGATTCTCATCGAGAATTAGATTGCTGCAGAGGTTGCACCAAGTTGGTCTTGCGGTGGTGCAGCCAAGGCCTATCTTACTTTTTCCAGTTTCTGTTCAGTTGAGGTTGAATGGAAACTTTTGTTAAGTTGATTGTTAGTGAATCATAGGTATGGTGCAATTAGTTTAGATATACTTTCTGATCAGTTTCTTCTTAACAAGGTTGCCACGAGGGTTGGTTTTTTTAGCCTAGTCCTTGAATGTAGGATGGAAATGGAAACTTTTGTTAAGTTGATTGGCTAAAATCTAGCATAAATGCATAGATGTCATTTGCCGTTTCATTTCTTCGGTGGATGGATTTTTGGACTGTATTTCTCTGATGGATTCTTCTTTTATACAGGGCCCAAGATCCAGAGGATAAGGCGTGGCCCATGAACTGCATGCTTAATTTGGGTGAGGCCCTAGAAATTCTGAGGCCTCGGGTCCGGCCTGCGGCGTAACCCTAACCTTATATAAGCTGCTGCAACTGTCGCTCTGTCAGCTCCGATCGTTGAAGGAATTCGCCGTTTCTTCCGAGTATGTCTATTTCTCGCGATCGATTCAGCTTTTCGTATGACTGATGATTGAGATTCCTTCTCTGTAGATCTGCATATGTGCATTAAGGTCGTTCCGCGGTAGATCTGCGATTCCTTCTCTATAGATCTGCATTTCTGTGCATTTAGGTCGCTTCGATTTTTTTGTTTTTCTGAGTATGTTCTTTTTTTTTATGTATCTCCTGTATGCGGTAGGTGATCTTCTACATGATCGTTTGATCGTAGATCCTCCATTTTGCTGTTTTTCTGTGTATGTGCGTTGTTGATGATATGAATGCGATCCTTTTTTTTTGTATATCTACTGCCATACGCCGTTATATCGCAGATCCTCCATTTTGCTGTGGCGATTCTGCCTCGTCTTTTATTTCTCAGCCGTTTTCTTTTTTGTTTTTGTGATCTTGTTGCAGGTAACATGGCTGAGAACGTTGCTAACCTTCGTAATCAAAGGATTCTCATCGAGAATGAGATTGCTGCACCACCGCAATACCAACTTGGTGCAACCTCTGCAGGGCTGTCCAAGTTGGTCTTGCGGTGGTGCAGCCAAGGCCTATCTTACTTTTCCCAGTTTCTGTTCAGGGTAGGTTTAATGGAAACTTTTGTTAAGGTTATTGTTAGTGAATCATAGGTATGGTGCAATTAGTTTAGATATACTTTCTGATCAGTTTCTTCTTAACAAGGTTGCCACGAGGATAGGTTTTTTTTAGCCTAGTCCTTGAATGTAGGATGGAAATGGAAACTTTTGTTAAGTTGATTGTTAGTGAATCTTGCAATTAGTTTAGATATGGTGCAAGTAGTTTAGATATACTGCTGATCAGTTTCTTCTTAACAGGGTTGCCAGCACTCCATGGCACATTGGAGGCTGTTGCGCTGGAAATGAACCAAGCATACGAGTACATGTTCAATCACCCGACTGCCCCTGCCATACTCAAGGATGCCCTCCCGGCTTACCACCTGCAGCTGAACCGCAGGGGTGGAGAGCTTGAAGACCTGATTACTCCAGTAGAAGCGATTTGTTTGAGCCACGTAACTGCCTTCTTCAAGCGCCCCGCCTAAGCGTCTCTCCTCCTGCACACAAAAGCGCCCACCGAACCCTGTGGAAGGGTTCGTTAGCACTCCAACGCCCAAGTCAGAACCACCTTCTAGAGAGAGAAGTAGAATATAAGTTTTAGAGAGAAGTTGGAACCTGAGTAAATGAGCTCCACCCACTTCACTATTTATACTCGGGCTAGGGTCGACTAGTGCCCCCCAAATCCGCCCTACGTCATCACCTCATTAAATGCACTGTACCTTTCTTCCTCCAGGCGCCCCGACATTCTGACACCAATCTGCACCCACGAGGCGCACGGCCCCACCCCGTGTCTCCTCCGTACGCTTTTGACCGTTGCCCCCCTTTTGTCGTCATGCGTCCCATCTTAGACCTGGTCCCACCACTTGGACCCTGGCCTCTCCTCCCTTCTTGGGCCGGGCATCCCCCTTGCCAGGCCCATGCTCCCGGCCCATGGCGACCCCTTGGGCCCTTACCTGGGCCCTACCTCCTATGCCCCCAACAATTGCCCCCCAGTTAGGCGCCTACCACCCGGTGGGGGCCTAACTAACCCATTCTTCTCCGGCAGCGCCACCCTGCTCTAATGCGCTCTCCTTGGCCCCCATGCTTTCTTTTGAGAGAACGCCTTGCCAACGCTCCCCTTCCGCGGAGCGCTTTTGGGCTCCTACCCCTCCTGCCAACCAACGCGCCCCTCACTCCCTCTTTCTTCATTAAAAAAATTTTTTATTTATTATAGGCCGACTGTTGGGCTTCCGCCTTGATTGTGGACGGACCATTGGGCTCCTGCCTCGATCAATGGTCCATTCTCCCCTCCCCCCAGGCTGAAGCGATTTCAAACGTCGAATTTTGAATTCGCTCCAGCCTGGGTGACTGTTCGGCTTCCACCACCCCGCTCTCTCTCCTTCGTTCCATCGCCTATAAATTGCCCCCCACCACTTCCTTCTTCCTCACTTTGACAAACTCACCCTCTCTCTACTTTCTCACTCTAAACTTTGCTCTGCTCTGCCCCCCAGTGCTCTTCGCACCCCTCAGCCACATCTCTCGGCCACTTGTCCTAGGCGCCTCACCCTTCCCCACGAATCTTACTCCTCCTCGCCTTTTCTTCCCTACCCATGGCCTCCTCGAATCAACCTGGGTCCCCCAAGACGGCGCCTACCGATTCCGCGCCTCAGGCTACGGCGCCTCAGAATGTGGTGCCTGCCAACGCGGGGCCCTCCAACGTTGCGCCTTCCAACGCGGCGCCTTCAGCCACTCCTGCTGCTACTCCAGGTACCCACACGCTCTATCCCCTTTATTTTACGCTCGCTTTGGGTTTCACGCGTTACGCCTCGCACTAGTTACCCGAGAAAAAAGGGTCGAATACCGTCTTCGTCTTCCAAGTGCCTCGCGCCTCTCTTTTGACCGCCTCTTTTTCCTCCTAGCCTTCTTCCTCATGAGCGCCCTTCTTGACCTCCTCCTTTTCTTTTTACCTAGGCACCGACGCGCCTCGCGAATTCGGGATAAGCCAGTGGGGCAACATGTGGCCACCTGGGTATATGCCCACGGACATCGATCGAATGTCCGAGGAAGACGCCGGGCCGCCACACGCCTCGAAGATCTTATACTCCCGCTTCACCTCCTTAATTCGAGCGGCGCAGATGCCCGATGACTGGCGCTACGCGCATCCCTCGCCTATTGCGCGCGTGGGGGTTTGCGGCGAAGGGTAGATCGGCGTATACCAAGAGTACGCCCGCTTCGGGCTTCGGTTCCCTATCGACCCCATTCTCGAGGGCGTGCTGCATTTATGACAATGCTCCCTTGGGCGCCTTTCGCCCGTCATCATCCTCTACACCGTCCTCTTCCGCCTCAAGTGTCGTCAACACAACATCCTCCCCTCCTTCAAACTTTTCCAACATTTTTTCACCATGATCAGGAGCCCCAATTGCTTCAGCCTACAAAAGCGCTCCAAGTTGTGGTATCACATCATAAGCAAGGGCAAGAAAATGGGGCGCTCGTGGTTTGAGTCTTTCTTCTTCGTCCGCCCACGAGACACGCCCTTCTTTGAAAGCGGCGCCCCTCCTCTGACTCGGTGGTCCTTTGGGGACGAAACCGAGTTCAACAAGCACCCCGTCCTAAACCAGGCGGAGGAAGATATGGCGCGCCGCCTTTCGTCCGCGCCGATAAGCCTCAAGAAAGATGATGCCTACGCCCGCTATTTAGCGGAGTTCTATGATGATGGTAGTTTCTTATGCTTAGCTTGCACGTCCTTTCACATTTCATGCGCCCTGACTGACATGCTTCTTGTCCCTTTTGTGCAGGCACCGTGTTCACCAACATCTCGGACCTCATCCGTTCGAAGATGCATCTTATTCCTCCGAAGGCGCCTCGGAAGCGCGGCAAGACCAGCAAGGCCAAGGCGCCTGCTGGGCCATCTCAACCCGCCCCGCGAAAGCCGGTGCGGGTGAGAATTATTGCGAATCCCCCCGCGCCTTCCGGGGGCGCGGGCTCACCTGCTACCACCGAAGTGCCCCAGCCTTCGTACAACTCTCCTCTCCACTTTGACGAGGAAAGGGGCGCTTCTCCTACAGCTCCGAGCCAAGGCGCCTCCCGTTCTCACCACAGCCCGGGCGCCTCCCCTCGAAGTCAGGGCGCCACGTCCCAGACTCCCTCACGCGCCTCCCAGGCGTCGGAGAAAAGGCCAGCCGAGCCACTTCTCTCAGCCGCCAAGAAGGCTAAGCTGGACAACATCATTGCTTCGGGCGTTCCAGCGAGCTTGGTGATGCCAAGCGTGGGGGAGCACACGGGGAATATCTTGCCCCCTATCTTCAACCGCCTTCCCGTCCCCTTGAGAAGGTCAATGTAGGCGTACCTGTCAGGGCGGCGAAGGACCCGGGCGCCGCTATGCAAATGGTGCTCTCTCATGCCGCCGTGATCGAGCGGCCCGACCATCTGAACTCGAACAGGCCTCTACGCACCATGGCCAACCTCTCCGTTCAGGTAAGGCGCCTGCCTGGTCGGCCTCCTCAACTGTTTGTCCAAATTCTTTCAAATTCTAACTTTGTTATGTGTGCTAGATGATGATGCTGATTGAATCCACCGCGCGTGAATTCGACCGGATGGCCAAGGAGAGCTTGGCTTCAGAGGGCGCCGCGGAGCGTCTCCGAGATGAGCTGACTACCGCCCGCGAGGCGCATGAGACGCTGAGTCAGGCCCGCGACGAAGCGCAGAAAGAGGCCCAGGCTTGGGCGGCGAAGCTGTCGACGGAGCTCGAGGCGGAGCGCCAAAAGATCAAGGCCTCCGTCGAGGTGGAGTGCCGAAAGCGCTATGACGCGCAGGCCGCCGCCGCGCGACCTGAGGCGGCCGAGGTGGAGAAGGCGCTCCGTGAGAGGGAGGCGGCACTCATCGACGAGCGCGACAAGTACTACATGGAGGCGCGCACGTTTTCTGAAGATCTTAAGAGGGCCTCCAAGGAAAAGGAGCAGTGCCGGAAGGAATTGAAGGCGGCCACTGCAGAGGCGGAGCGCCTCAAGAAGGAGCTATCCGACTACCCCAAGTCGGCGGCCGGGAAGAGCCTTCAAGCGGACACCGTGATCGATACGGTGAAAATCCTTCGCGACAAGTTCAACAAGGACGTCCCGGAGGTGGAGTTCGACACCATGGCGATGATCATGCACATCCTTAAGTTCCTGGATAGTGGCCGCAAGGCCAGTGAGCTGGCGCCTATTGTGGGGTTGGACGTTCCTCCGCCGAATGATGAGGAGGAGGAGGAAGAAGGCGCCGGGAGTGGTGAAGATGAAGAGGAGGAGGGCGCCGATGACGAAGAAGGCGCCAATGAGGAAGAGGGGCGCTCACCCGGTCAGCAGGGGACGCCGGAGGGGTCGGTGCAAAGTGAAGAAGAGTGAGCCAATCGTGAAATGGTTGCTTGTTGCCTTGTATTTTCTTGGTTGTAATCTCATTTTACCTTTGCAATGAACCTTGCTTTTAATGAATGTCTCTTCGCGACGCCGCTCCTTTTATATGCGTCTCTAACCTCAGGCGCCCTCTCACAAAGCGCTTTCGGAATGCATTGCTCTCCCAGAGTTAGGCGGAGACCGCAAACTAGCCACTTATGCAAAGCTATCGTGACTTTCGACAGGGCGCAAGAACAATGGGCGCTTTACCGAATCGATCTTGCGGGCGCATAGATTAGGGCGCTTTAGAATAATTTCCAGCACCATTCGTGGGCGCAATAGTATGGCGCTTTGCAACAAGTTCCGGAACACTTAGAAGGCGCGATGATGGGGCGCTTTACGGTGAACATTAATACAATATTTTAAGGCGCGAAAGTAGGGCGCTTTACGGTATACATATTACGATCCTATGGCGCAAAAGGAGGGCGCTTTACAATCATTTCCCTAGGCGCGTGGGATAACGTGCTTGCAGTAATAATAACTCCCATCACAATTGCTCAAACTTACCCTCAACCTCGGGCCAAAATGTGGGCGTCCCTCCTCTTGCCGCCGACGCCTTACTCGGAGGCGTCCCATGCTTCCTTCCCATGTTATACCTTGAGGTTCTGCACGTTCCACGTTCGCTTGACGGCCTTACCTCCCAGGCGTTCCAACTTGAACGTGGCTGGACCCACCATCTCCCGCACACGGTATGGTCCCTTCCACTTGGGAGCCAACTTCCCCTCGCATGCCTTCCGGCGGAAGTCCCGCCGCAACACCAAGCTCCCCAGGCGTATCTGGTGAGGTCGCATCTTACGATTGTAGTACTTGGCTACTTGTTGCTTCATGGCCTCGAGCCGCACGGAGGCAATATCCCTACGCTCCTCCAGCATATCAAGGTCATGCACGCGCTCCTCCCTGTTTGCTGACCCCTCATATTCTGCCACGCGATGCGTCGAAAACCGCATCTCCACCGGGAGGACCGCCTCACTGCCATAAGTCAAAGCGAACGGCGTCTCGCCAGTCGCCACCTTGTGTGTAGTTCTATGCGCCCACAGCACGCCTGGGAGCTCTTCTACTCACCTCCCCTTAGCCTCCAGCAATCTCGTATGCAGTCCGTGCAAGATGCTC